ATTACATTAATTTTTTAAATGTTGATAATATTATTAATATTAATAATAGAAAAAAATTATATATGTACAAGTATAAATGTAAATATAATTTTTTTAATATAAAATTACTTTATTTCAATAATAACCAAATATTTTTTACATTATATAATAGTAAAATAATCAATAAAATAAATATTTTATAATAATACTGTATATTAAATGTCAAGTTCATATAATTTTTTTCAATATTACATTTACAAATAAAAAACATTTATTGATTATATTTTTATTTAATATAAATAAAAATATATTATTAAATGTGTTTGTATATTAATACAGTATTTATTTTTTAATCAGTATTAAAACTAACAATAAAATGTTATTATTTTTCTATAAAATTTATTGTTAATATTTGTAATTATAAAGTAATTATTTTTGTTTATTATTAATATTAGCTAAAAGATTAAATTTTAAATAATAATTAGTTAATTAAATAGTAATCATTATATGCATATTAATTTTACATTTATAAAAAATTGATAAAACTATATATAAACTTAATAGATAGATATTATTGATTTTATTTATTAATACATTTTAAATAAATATGTCATAATATGAGATATTTAATAATATTAAATAATATTCAATAAAAAAATAACTATAATTATTGTAATTTATTTTTATCTAAATTATTGCTATTTAATTACTAAAATAGTACATTATAAGTTAGTGCAATATATATATATATATATATATATAATGATAATATATATATATCATACAGTATTTTATATAAATAATATATTTATTTAATAAAAATAAAACACATATATATATACATAATTAACTTTAATTTGAAAACAATAACAATTAAATATGTTTTAAGGTTAATTGATATGAAAATTATAACTATAATTATTTTTAATGTATTTTTAGTGCATATTTAGAGATATAAATATCAATAAAGTTAGAAATAATATAATAATAATAAAAATATTTAAAATTATTTTTATTATTAATATTAAACTGATAAACAATGATTGAATTTTCAGCTAATAAACTATTGCCCGAAAATCTGGTATACAAGTGGTCGGCCTATCATTTATACCGAATCGGCTTAAGTAACCATCGATTAGTTGGCGTCGCCGATGATTGTTGTCCTCAACAACAGAGACTATGGTTTAATAGACCGATAATTATATCAATTGTTTCATTAGTTTATTTAATTAAACGTCTAATCTGTTTGTTATATATCGATGATAATAATAATAATAATAATAATTGTCTATTGATTGCACTGTTAGGCGAGTGGACATACTTTTGGGGTAATCGTAAACTAATGGACATATTTTTCATATTACAAACATTGTTAACCATATTATCAGTTTCGACCTATTCATACAACTACTATATCCAGGGTATTGAACCCAAATTTTTACGGGTATTTGAAATGATGTCCGGTTTGCGTACACCCCTAGCGGTTGGTCTAACCGATCGCCAGGAGATCCGGAACCTAAGCAAATGGTTGAACTGGTTATCCATGTATTGTCAGTATACTGTTGTTGTTATACTACCAGTTATATCAATAGTATTATGTTTTTTTGGTTATATATTTAATTTCCAAATAATTTATGTATTACTATATGGTTTGCCAAATACTCTAGTATTTTATCTATGGAGTAGTTATGTAACAAATATCATACAGTTTCAAATGGTCTACTTTTATATACTGTGCCGGTATTTAAAGCACCGGCAGTTTATTATTATTAAACAATTAAAACAATTGATAATTACTCGCAAGATAACTATAACTACTATTAAACGTATTAATGGTATTATCAAATCATTGGACAAATTGGTTGTCGATATCACGGACTATAACCATACTTATTGGTCAAAGTTTTTACTATACGTTTGGTTGACTTTCGGTACGGCTATTGTTATACTATTGAATAGTATTTTGTTTCTATCAATGGATTTTTATATTAGATTAACATTAATTTATATTTTAATTATTGATTTTGTAATATTTTTATTTATAATATTGACGGCAGCGTCGGTCAACAATTTTGTTGATAAAACCTATAATTTATTAAATAATATTAATATAAATTTAAATTATTAATTAATTATATAATATATTATTGTTATAAATATTAATTTATTGTAATTAACTAATAAATTGTTTTATTTATTATTTCTATTGGTAACTATTTCTTAATAATAATAATAATAATCTTAATTAAAATAAAACAAATAAAAAATTGACAAGTGTTTAAAAATCAATTTAAAAATTTATTTATTTAACTAATTTTTTTAAAAACAAAAAAAATACAATTATGATACTAAAAATTTTAAGATTTTATAATAACATTATCATATACTGTATATATATCTATTGTATCATTGTATCATTTTGTTGATTATGTTTTATTATATATATATATATATATACTAGTATTTATTCCATTTTTTAAATTCAACATATGCATCTGAGTCGGGTGCTATATTAAATAATTTTTATAAAAAATTAAAAAAAAATAAAATTTTAATTTCAACAATAACAACAACAACAATAATAATAATAATAATAATAATAATAATAATAACAATAACAATAACAATAACAATATCTAAAAATATCGTTTACCTGGTTTAGCATTGATACTTGATACTAATAATAATAATAATGATAAAAATATATTTAAAAAATTTTAAAAATAAATAATTTTTATTAATTACTATTATAACTTACGTAAAGCACTGATAAATACTACTACAACCAATTGAATAAAACGATTAATTTTTTTGTAGTTTTTTTTAAAAATAATTTAGTAATTTTGATAATTTTTTTTGAGAGACTTTATTACAATCTTATATACCCTAAAAAAGTTAACAAAAAAAATTCAACCTATATTTTAATGAAATTTAATATACAGTATATATAATTATGTGTAAATCAATTAACGCAAATTGATTTTTTTTAAAAATTAAATATTTTAATTAAAATACCAGTATATACTCACTTTTAAATTAATTAAAAATTTGTATTGAAAAATATTTATTTTTTTTCTATTTGTAAATCATATTAAATATATTTTATTCAAATAAATATAATTTTAAAAAAAACTATTACAACATATCCTTGTTATCGATTGACGCAATTGTATTAGACATAAGATTTTTGTTTTTTTTGGTTTAAAATTTTTTTAGTTTCCTGTCTTAGAGAAAGAGAGAGAGAGAGAGAGAGAGAGAGAGAGAGACACATACAAACACATACACACACATACACACACATACAMACACATACACACACATACACACACATACACACACATACACACACATACACACACATACACACACATACACACACATACACACACATACACACACATACACACACATACACACACATACACACACATACACACACATACACACACATACACACACATACACACACATACACACACATACACACACATACACACACATACACACACATACACACACATACACACACATACACACACATACACACACATACACACACATACACACACATACACACACATACACACACATACACACACATACACACACATACACACACATACACACACATACACACACATACACACACATACACACACATACACACACATACACACACATACACACACATACACACACATACACACACATACACACACATACACACACATACACACACATACATACACACACATACACACACACTATAGAGAGGATATGTTGTAATAATTTTTTTAAAATATATTATTTTTTTGCAAAATAAAATCTAATTGCGTAAATTGATTTACATATACATATATAGATAATATTATATTTCAATAATGGTTTCAATAGTTATTTCTATATATATATATATCTATAAATTTATATTTTTTATGGTATATAAGCCAGAGTTTTTTGGATGAGTTTTATAGTCACTCAAAAAAAAACAATATATAACAAACCAGCAATCATTACATTCCTTAGCGATAAATGTATTATTGATATCACTTGTGGTTCACAACATTCACTGGCACTGACCAGTGCGGGCACTGTCTATGAATGGGGTCATAGCAGATACGGACAGTGCGGTTGCGGATAACAAACTGATTGTATTGATAGTCCGACTCGTATTATATTTCCCGCAAATACTGTCATTAAATCAATTTATTCATACAATTGGTGTTCATTTGCTATAACATCGGATGGACTCGTTTACAGTTGGGGTTGGAATATGGATTTTAGTCAATTGGGAATGTTTGGGAAAGTTTTTTCAATAAAAAATGGTAGAAAATTAAGAGAATATAAACCTGAAATTGAATTGAAAATCTCAAAAATATAAAATTAATATCATATAATTTAAAATTATTAAAAAATTTATTTTCTAACAAATGATGGCTATGTATATCAATGCGGAAATATAAATCAATATTCAAATAAAAAATTAACAAAACTAATGAGTATTGATTCAGTTATTGATATATGCGATCATTATATTAGAAAACAAGATAACAAATACTATGAAATTATCTATGAAAATGATAATAATTTTAGTTTTTTAAAAAATTGTAAACAAAAATGTTTTATTGATTTCGATGCCGATATAAATCAAAAAACTTATGAAACAATTAATATTAAAAAATATATTGAAAAATATTGGAAAATAAATGATAGAACAGAATATTATTCAAATAATTTCAATCCAATAGAACTGTTAGGTTCGGGAGGTTTCGGAAGAGTTTATAAATGTTTGAATAATAAGACTACAGAAGTGTTTGCCATTAAAAATATTATAATAACAAGTAATATATAATTTTATTATTTTTATTTTTTGTTAAAATTAATTTATCAATTTATTTTCAGATAAAAAACAAAAAAAATATATTTTAAAAGAAATTAAACAACTATTTAAACTTCAGTCAATATTTGTGGTTAAATGTTATGACGCGTGGATTGAATCGTCAAAAATACTTTACATTCAAATGGAGTTATTATCACAAAGTCTTAAAGATCTTATTGAAATGAAATCAGAAATATTTGAGAGAGAAATCAATGAACCGATGGATTGTATCGAGTATTACATTACAAGTCATATAATGCTAGAGATGTGTGAATGCGTTGAATATCTGCATACAAGACAACCACCAGTTATTCATCGCGATCTCAAACCCGGAAATATACTCATCAATGATAAGCCATTAGATAATCGTTTCCTTAAACTGTGTGACTTTGGTTTGGCCACTGATCACAATCGTTATGGCACTGAATCGGAATTACACACTAATAATGTTAAAACTCATAAATATATTGCACCCGAAGTTTTTGGTAATAATAATAATAATGGTTCGGATAGATTGGCATATAATGAGAAAAGTGATATCTATAGTATGGGTTATATACTATTGGACTTATTTGATGTCAACAGAGATAATGATTTTGAGTAAAGTTTTTAAAATATTTTTTTAAAAATTCTAATAATTTATATTTTTGAATTTTTTTTATACATGCAGAAAATTTAAACAATTATATTGTCAACATAATTTAAGTCGAAATATTGGTGAAATTGTAACATTAATATCATCAATGCTAAAATCATCATATTATGATAGACCCAATTGTACTGATATTATCAATGATAAACAACTATATATTAACAATAATTTAATTAGAAATAATTTATTTACTAAAAGTTTTCAATCTATAGATCCTAATGATTATTATATATTTAGACAAATATTTCTAACAAAAATTAGTCAATCTTAATAATTATTATAATAAAAATATAATTAATTTTAATTCATATTTTATTGAAAAGTTCTAATAACTAATATTTTTCTTATATATATATTATTTAAATTATAATAATTAAATTTTTTTAAATATTATTTAATTTTTTTTAAAGTTTAAAGTTAAATTTGTAATGTCATTTAATTTGAAATATAATAATAATTAATAAACATTGTTTATGAATAAGATTTCTGATAAATATATATATATATATTAATAAATATTATCTTAACTATAAATATAAATTATATTTTAAAAGTTAATATAATATTATAATGTTTAAGTTTATAATCAATAGACATGTAGTAGTAATAATTTTTTTTTAAATATATAAATATATTTAAGAATCTAATTTGTTTAATTAAAAGTATAAATATTTATAATTTTAAACAATTTATTAGTATTAATTTTTTTGAATAAAAAATATATAATTTACTTATTTAATTACTTTTTTTTATATATAAATAATAACAATATATAATTTTTAGATAAATTTTAAGGCACAAGATTATAGAAAAATTCAATTTAAAAAATTAGAAATATATAATTAAAAAAAAATAGATAGCAAAAGATAAAGATAAAGCAAAAAATATTGATAAAAACAGTTTTCAATATAAAATTTTATTGTATACAACCAACAAAAAAAACATTTAAACAACAAGTACAATTAGTATACTATAAATATTTAAAATACAAAATTATTAATATTATAAAAATTATGATAAAACTATTTTAAAAACAAAATAAAATTTAATTTTAACAAAGTTAGCAATTATAACATTGGTACAAAAAATTATATCTATATATTTATATTAAGAAAAAAATTTAGATTTATATATTATTTTTTTTGAATTTAATTTTCTATCAACAAATAAATAAACTATTATTTTAACTATTGTAGCATGGTAAGTTGTTTGTTTTTTTTTCGGTCAAATTTAACCCAGGTCATTTTTGATCATTATCATCATCGTCATGTGCTTTTTAAAATTTATAAGATTTAAAAAAATTTATATAAAATTTATAATAAAAAAAAACAATAAAACAATTTTACAAAAAAAATATCTAATTATAAATATTTACTTGGATTGCTAGCCATTATAGTGCTGATTGAAACTATAATAAATTAATACATTAATAAAAATTAAAATAATATATAATGTAGGGGAAGTGGGTATATTACGGGTATCTAAGTTTGTCTAACCTTCCTTATGTAAACCAAACACTCGGCAATACACCACTTACCTTACGGTTTTGACTCTTTTAGTGATAACTTATAGTAATGCGTGGCTTAGGAACGAGCGGTTTCCTGTTTAATCTACTTTGACCAATTAGGTCTGTAGCCCAAATAGGGTCTGTTACCCAAATAGGGTCTGTCACCCAAATAGGGTCTGTCACCCAAATAGGGTCTATCACCCAAATAGGGTCTGTCACCCAAATAGGGTCTGTCACCCAAATAGGCTCTGTCACCCAAATAGGCTCTGTTACCCAAATAGGCTCTGTCACCCAAATAGGCTCTGTCACCCAAATAGGTTCTGTTACCCAAGTAAGGTTTCAGACCCGTCTAGGGTTTCAGATCCGTCTAGGGTTTCAGATCCGTCTAGGGTTTCAGATCCGTCTAGGGTTTCAGACCCGTCTAGGGTTTCAGATCCGTGTAGGGATTCAGATCCATGTAGGGTTTCAGATCCGTGTAGGGTTTCAAATCCGTCTAGGGTTTCGGATCCGTATAGGGTTACAAGGCCTGGAAGGACCGTGGGCCTGGAAGGACCGTGGGCCTGGAAGGACCGTGGGCCTGGAAGGACCGTGGGCCTGGAAGGACCGTGGGCCTGGAAGGACCGTGGAAGGACCGTGGCCTGGAAGGACCGTGGCCTGGAAGGACCGTGGGCCTGGAAGGACCGTGGCCTGGAAGGACCGTGGGCCTGGAAGGACCGTGGCCCTGGAAGGACCGTGGCCCTGGAAGGACCGTGGGCCTATAAGGACCGTGGGCCTATAAGGACCGTGGGCCTATAAGGACCGTGGGCCTATAAGGACCGTGGGCCTATAAGGACCGTGGGCCTATAAGGACCGTGGGCCTATAAGGACCGTGGGCCTATAAGGACCGTGGGCCTATAAGGACCGTGGGCCTATAAGGACCGTGGGCCTATAAGGACCGTGGGCCTA